GAAGGGAGAGACAGACAGAAACATCGACGTGAAAGGACACATCGAGTGGCTGCCACCCGCACGACCAACCAGGGCCGGGGACAAACTGCAACCGAAGTACGTGCCCTTAGCGGGAACCGAACCCGGGTCTCTCCGGACCGCAGGCCGACGCTCTAACCGCTGAGCCAAACTGGCCAGGGCTAGAGAAGCATTCTAATGGGGACAGTTGAGCTAAATTGGGGAGATGAAGAAGGCTGCCAGACAGAGAAGGGAAGAAGCAAAGGCAAGGAACATCCACCAACTCTGGAGACAAGCTTGGAAAGCCATCAGATTCTGGGGAGCTGGTGCATGTTGGGGTGTTGTAGAAAATAAGCCTGAAGGAGCAAGTTGAGATCAGATCTGCGGGCAATGCTGACCTCTGTTCTACAGGGCGAGGAGGAGTCAATAAAGATCATTGGAACAAAAAGTAACATGATCACAATTGATATTTAAAAACTTACCTCTGGCAGCAGCAGCTGAAGGCTAAGTGAGAAGCTAATTAGAAGACTGATACAATAATCTAGGCAAAAGATGGAAGTGTCTGAACTAAGGCAGCAGCACTGGATCCAGGAGCCAAGCGCGGATTTGGGAGCTGTGAAGTAGCAGAAGACCTCCCCTCAGGGAAGGGGAGACACTCAGACTTGACATTTAAACCTTACTTTTGAAGACCCCTGAGACAGATTGTTATATTTAAGTTATTTTTTATTCAATATGTGGGAAACTTATTAGACTTATTTAGCATATACTTACTCAGGTTATTTTAAAACATGTAAAATGTCTTGATGAATGATTCTCACTTCAGAAATCATAGGTGTGATGGTTCTCTAACGAGTTTATTAAACATACTGCTTCAGACTATAGTTTGATATGTTTCTTAAATAGCAATAAAATTACTCAAATAAAACTTTCTTCTTCATACATTAAGGCAACATTGCTTCTAAAAGCCATACTACCCATTAATCCAACTCTATTACAGATTTATGAAGATCCTTGTGAAAGATTTTTATATGATTTCACTAAGTAATATATTATACTTGGTCCTGAAAAGATTAAACAGACTGGTGACCAGAAAGACAAAATCATCACTAATGAGCAAATTTTAAGTCCCGCAAATAGGCCTCGCTTATACCTAATTCATTAATTCACTGAATTATTGAGTACCTGGGCACTATGAATACAAGGAGAGAGAAGCATATCAGTGCTATAATAGAGACTCAATTAATTAACTCAAAAATATAAAGAGAGCCCAGCCAGTGTGTCTCAGTGGTTGAGAATTGACTCATGCACCAAGATGTTGCCGGTTCAATACCCAGTCAGGGCACATGCACAGGTTGTGGGCCCAATCCCTAGTGAGAGGCGTGCAGGAGGCAGCCAATTGATGTTCTCTCTCATCGATGTTTCTATCTCTCTCTCCCTCTTCCTTCCTCTTTCTCTAAAATCAATAAAGAAAAAAAAATTTAATAAAAAGAGAAAGTTCCGTGTCTCAGAGAGTTCAAGAAAGAATGACCAGCCCTGGCCAGTTTGGCTCAGCAGTTAGTGTCGGCCTGTGGACCAGAGAGACCCGGGTTTGGTTCCTGCTAAGTGCATGTACCTCGGTTGCAGTTTGTCCCTGGCCCTGTTGGGGTCATGTGGGTGGTGACCACTCAATGTGTCTCTCTCACATCGATGTTTCTCTCTCTCTCTTCCTCCCTCTCTCCTTCCAGCTCTAACTGAAGATAAATACAAAACTGTCCTCAGGTGAGGGTAAAAAATAAGAATGACCCGAGCCTCGATGATTATGACTTTGTGAGTCAATTTAGAGAGGGCAATACATGTCATAGGAAACAACATGTCAAAAGCCCTCTGGCAAAAAGACTCTTGACCAAGTTTCCAATTTGGGAAACTTTGAGAACTAGAATGTAGGATAAGTCATGGTAGTAACATGAGATAAAACACTTTATGTCATGCTAAGAAGTCTTAACTTTATCCTATAAGAAATAATGAGGCACTGAAAATTTTTCAATGGAAGGCAAATGTAGCAAGATGTGAATTTTTTAAAGACCATTCAGGCTATGGAGAAAGAACTAGAGAGAATAAAGAAATGGGGGGAGGGTGCAAGCCCGGGGGGGACAGCCAGTTAAAAGGTAGTTATAATAATCAAGAGGAGAAGGCTGATGCTGCAAACAGGTGACGAGGTAAAATCAATGAGATTTAATAATGAAGGGTATGAAGAAAGGGGAAAGACTAGTATGATTCCAGGTTTCTGGATAGCCAGGGAAATGATGTTACCATAAACTGAGATAGAAAATATAGGTGGAGAGGTAAATGGGCAAAGAAAAATGATTTTTTAATGCATATTTTTTTAAAAAAATAGTGGCATGAAGTGCCAGCCACAGAGGTATGTATGCCACTCAGATTAAGAGAAGCTGCTATGGCCCTGACCAGATGGGTTAATTGATTGGAGCATTGTCCTAATACACCAAGATTGTGGGTTCAACCAGAGGGGAGTGCACAGGAGGCAACCAATCAATGCTTCTCTCTCATATTGATGCTTCTCCCTCTCTCTAAAAAATCAATAGGCATATCCTCTGGTAAGGATTTAAAAAAAGAGAACCCACCCTAACTCATTTGGCTCAGCAGTTAGAGTGTCAGCCTGCAGACCGGAGGGTTGCAGGTTTGATTCCTGATCAAGGGCATGTACCTGGTTGCAGGTTCGATCCCTGGCCCCAGTTAGGGTTGTGTGGGAGGCAGCCAATCTATATCTCTCTCACATTGATGTTTCTCTCTCTCTCTCTCCCTCCCACTCCCATCCACCCTATCTAGAAAATCAATGGAAATATATCCTCCTGTGAGGGTTAAAAAAAAGAGAGCCTGCTCTGGGGAGCATAGCTAACAACAGCGCCAGCTGCTGTCCCCTGGGCTCCTCGGAGGCCAGGCTTCCTCCAGGGCTGCCTGCTAGAGCCAGCCCATTCCCAGTCCATAGATGACACTCGTCTAGTGAACAGCTTCTGCTCAGGGACTCCCTGTCAGCCTGTCAGACTTTCTCAGAACTGTGTTGCCATCTGAGGCTCTTCCTACCCAACCTCTTCTCTCTTCTCTCACACAGGTATCAGACCTGCATCATGGTCTGAAGGTCTCCCTGATTACTTCTATTCCTTCTTTACCCTCCACAAACATTTCTCCCAGTAAGAGCTCTTGAATAGTTAATCCCATTTTTGCATCTGTTTTCTTGAAGGAGCCAAGCTGACAGAAGGCAGAATGTAGGACATCAAGTAAAGGCTTGGGGAGGGGACACATTTAGGAGTTGCTGTGCACAGGAATCACTGAGCCTTGGCTTGGGATGAACCCACTCCAAAGGTGCAGATCCTAAGGAGCATACCACGAGTTTATACACAGTGCTACCAGCGCCAACAACTGGAGAAGTGCCTCTTGGCAAGAGGTAGACAACAAAAAACATTTGAAATAATGTGGAGGAGGTTTTAAACAGTTTAGATTATAATCTAGCATTAGAAACTACAGAGGAATTTTTAGCATCCACCATAGTCCTAACTTTAATCTGTGTACTATAACGAAGTGACATTTTGTAATTCTAGGATCTTCAGGTCACCATTGAAATAGAAGAACTGGGCTATGGGTTTGCTCCAGCCTTTCCACGTACAAGATACTAAGTATAAAAGAGTTAGTACAGGACAAATCAACATCCTTTAGTACTTGAGAACTGAGTGTTCCTCTGGTTAGTGAAAGTCTTTCCAACAAAATGCCCTCTGACTCCACCCCAACAACATACACTTAATCCCCTTAGCACTGTGCTGTGGACATGTGTTTAAAGCTTTAATTGGCTATGGAGATGGTTATGGGGTGTGATCATTCATGTTGCAAAATATTTTAATACTAGTTCTGCCTCAACATTACCTTGAACTTCTTTTGTTCCTTTGTAATTTGCCAAATTATCATACACAGAAGCATTGTTGATGATGATGTAACTGTATTCATAAACCACACAGAAATTTGCTTCTTCATTCAAATCATCTAAATGGCTGGATTCTCTATGTGATTATAACTTTACATGTTTAGGTTTGCAAAAATCACTACAGTAAAACCATTAGTGTTTAAGCCCCACAGGTTGTCAACACTGGGCATACACCCAGATTTTGTGGCCTAGAAAGATGCTCACCTAGGAAGGGGCCAACTGGTATGCCTTGAAAAAGAAAAAAGAAAAAAAAATAGGACTATAGTTCTTAGAAAACATCCACAGTGTGTGGCTAAAGGAGAGAGAAAAAGAAGCCTAAATAAAAAATGTATACTACAAAAACATGGTGATAATCCTTCTAGTCTATGTCAAGAGTGTATGTCTTCACTTTTTATCTCAAAATAGTGGGGATAGTTATATTATGTAATCCAGGCAAAGTCACACTATTTAATATGATGTAAAAATGGTGGCCCCATTTCAAATAATTACACTGGTAGTAGAATTCAAACTTAAATTCTCCTTTCCCAAGAGGTCAAATTAAATTATGTATTTGTCTCTAACTAATACCTCAGAGGGACCATAAAGAAATGCTAGAAGTGTTTTTATAGTCTAAAATCATCTTTTATCCAAGCATTAGTAAAAACATGTAGTTTTACATAAGACTTCTCATCTCTCTTACAATCTGCTTATCTGAAATGAAATAACTGAGATCACAATCATGGGCATAGCACTTGGGGGAAATTATTCCACTTTTGCAGATTAAAAAAATAAATATTTAGTAAGTATATATATTTAATTTATTGTCTTCAAAATTATCTCTAACATATCAGGACCATAGATATAGAAGTAAACATAAAAACAGTATTAGAAATATTTACAGGTTAGCAATCAAAAGCCAAGATATAATATGCAATTGATAAAAGTCCTAGCTCCATTTAAGACATTAATAAATACTGAAAAGGTAAGGCTTTATATTCTATTGTTTGTCATCTTGCAATTAGTCAAATTACATAAAGAAACATAAAATTTTTACCTTTTTGAGCTTCTGTATCCATTAACCGATGAACTAATGGATGACTATATGTTGTTTTCTTGATCATTTCTTAAAAACTAGGCAAATAATACACTGAAATATCAAATGGTAGCAATTAACATGTATGGAGTGCTTTTATATTCAAATAATGAAGTTTAACTTCAAATATGGCAGGGAAATACTTTAAGGAATACCCTTAAAGCATTCCTTATATCATATATTTAAAAATTATATATTAAAAAATCATGCTTTAAGGAATACCATGGGGACACAATTTTTCCAGGACAAATCAAAATTCAAACAAAGGCTTTGGAGTAGAAATTTTAGAAGCTACTGGAGAAAGAAAACACATTGTTCACCAGAAACAATGTCAGCTATCACAAAGAAAGACATGGTCTTTATATTACTAGTTATATAGCAATCCAAAAAGAGGTAATTAAAGCACTGGAAGAAAGTGGGTTCTATTCAGTGTAGTAAAAACCATAGTATTAATCTAAAATAAAGCTTCTACATAGCAATACATTCAGAGTTCACATTGTTCCCATCAAAGCGTCATTAGCATGCACCCGTGTCAAATAGCCCTACTGCCAAATGGTCTTTCAGTGCTTCTAATTTAAAGAATCCATACCATCTCAGCAAACATATTTAAAACTGAAGAAATTAAAGTATTTTATGCTGCTCAAATAGAGCATATCATGTGAATAAGCTTAAACAAGGTTTTATCCAACTTTGGAAAACAACAATTTGATGTCTTATATCTGAAATCTGAGTCATAATAATCACTATACAACCATGACTTTATATAGCACTCCTTACTTCCAAGGATCCCAAAACATTTTTCAGAGCCACATTTTTCTTTACGGTAAGTTAGAAGACAAATTATTTCCCCTACAGTTTGCAAATGAGGAAAAGACAAAGGTTAAATTACATCCCTGCGGTCACATGGTTAAACAATACCAAAAGTGATCATGCATTTTGTTCCCAGTTTCGTTTCTCTTCCATTCAAGAGAGCGGTCTTTGTTATATGAGTCTGCCTGAAGGTCAACTTGTACTAAATGTTAAGTCTGGACATACCTACAGGAGTTAGCTGAATTTCTGGAAGGTTAAAATGTATCATCCACAACTTTTGTTTTGTTGATGAGACCTCTGATGGTACCTGAAAAGCAGCACCAAAGCTCGCAGTTTGCTACTGTACACGCTGGCAACGTCCTCGCAGAAGGGAGAAGGATCCTGGCAGCTGCAGCTCAGAGCCTCGGGTTATACAGCGGTGAGGTTGGAATGCCCATGAATGAGGGGCCTGAAGAACAGCAGGAATAGTCCATGTGCGTGTCTCATGAATACAGCTAGAGTTCATAGGTGAATATAAACCGCTCTTGCAAGTGACTGAAGATTATTCGGGTGAAGCTGTCCATTTTTTAATTTTGATGCCAAGAGTTATTTAAGACTCTTCAGTTATGACGTTCTGAGAGACAGAGGCCACGTATTTTTCGTGTCAACTGTCTGGGTGCAAGCATCGTTTTTAGAATCAGACAACCACACCAGAATGTTTTTGAACGTGTGAAGCTGTGCTCTGGACGCAGGCATCAAATTACCAGGCTTCCGTCCTACTCAGAATAGGAAGGCTGAGGGCTCTGTCCACCTGCACGTGGGATGCAAGTGGCATTTAAGAGTACACAGAAATGTCCCTGCTCACTGAAAGTATCTTTTTAAAGTTATATTGGGGTTAAGTTTGGTTAATAGGATAATTTTGGGGTGTGCATTAAAAATCAACAGCTGTACACTCTTGCATGCTCACCCCTGAAGTCGTTTCCTTCTGTGACCCTGTATTTGACCCGCTTAGCCCACTTCACTGTTCCCCCAACCCCCTTTCCTCTCTGGTAACCACCATTCTATTGTCTCTGAGTTTGTTTCTATTTTGTTGGTTCATTTGTTACTTTTTGTTTTATATTCCACATAAGTGAAATCATGATTTTGTCCTCTTCCATCTGATTTATTTAATTATATGGTAGTTCTATTCTTAATGAAAATATCCTTAGTAGTAATTTATTATAGATAACAAAATCAAGCAATGTTGTGAAATTAAACAAACTCAGGAGTGTGAATACAGCTCCTGAGAAATACTTCACATTCCATAAGTTACACAAAGTTTAACTGAGGTCATGTTGATATATTGAACAGAACTAGAGGTCTGGGATCCCAATTTTGGTCATTCCTGCCAATAATCAGCTTGTGACTTTAGGCATTTATTTAATATGTTTCAAGGCTCCTCATCTATAAAACAGGGTTATAAGAGGCATATAATATGTATCTATGGGATGAATATGCTAGGTGAATTTTAACATTCTGGACCTGCAAAATCCTAAACAATTTAAACTTATTCATCGGCTATTAATTCTAGGCAGAGGATACTGCCTCTTTTTGGCTCTTCTTAAAACAAGAATAAAGACTCATTTGGTGCATAAAAATCACTTGTATTTTTCAAGGATAAATTTAAGACTATGAAACTTCATTGTTGGATTTCTTAAGAGGCAGCATCCCTAAACTATCTAAACCAGCGATTTTCAACCTTTTTCATCCCACGGCATACATAAACGAATTACTAAAATTCTGTGGCACACCAAAAAATATATATTTTTTGCCTATCTGACAAAAATAGTAGGTATAATTTTGATTCATTCACACCAGAAAGCTATTGTTGTGTTGGCTATTGTCATTTTTTATTTGACAATCTAAGTGAAAAGAGGTCAATGTCCCTGACTGGTCAAGTATTGCATGTTTTAAAAATTCTTGCAGCACAGCAGTTTGAAAATCAGTGATCTAAACTGACATGACAATAATTATTTTAATTATATTGCACTGTTTAAAGTACACAGACTTCTGCCTCCAGCCTTATGTAGCTTATAGCTAGCTCTATTCATATTGAGAATTAGAAAAGCAGATTTTAAACTCTTTCTCTTTCTCTCTCTCTCACTAGAAGGCATCAGAGAGCAGCTCAGACAGACAAGAACTCCATACTTCAGTTGATTATTGTTGTAAAGAGGCTGAGAAGCCAAAGAGAGGACAATGTGGAAGGATGTCAGCAGGATTTTAGGCAATCACACAGAACTGGGAAGACAAAATAAGTGTTTGGAGCTGGCAAGGCACCCAGAAACTGGGGAGTGGGGGTGGGGAGGTCCAAGATCCCAGAAAGGGACAGAAAAGTAAGCCTGCTATGCCTCTCAAGGTATTTCCTCAGTAAGATGTTTAGGGTAAGAGGCTAATTGTCTAAGCATCAAGTTGGTAAAAGCAAAGCTCAAAAGAAAACACCTGGCTGTGAGTTGGTGCCCCCTTGAAAACGTTTTAGAAAGTGGGGCAGGGGTTGGGAGTGACTGGAAGAGGGAGTCTTGCAAAAGCTGCAAAGTAGACTTGAAGTCACTCAGTTCAGATCAGAGTGATGTGATCTTACCCTCTGCTCCCTGCCAGAAAACCTTCTGTAGTCCTCTCTAGAGGAAGATACAGAATATCTACAAGTTTTAATGCACAATGTCCAACATTCAGTCAAAATTTACTAGCCATACAAAGACAGAGATAACTCAGATATTGGAATTGTTTGACACAGATTCCAAAGTAATGGTGATTAAAATGTTCAAAAATTGATGATAAGAATTACACCTGGAAACTGGAATCTATAAAATTAAGTCAAATAAAACTAAAAATATAATAAATGAAATAAAGTGCTCAATAGATGAGCTCTTTAACAGCAAATGTAGAGACAGCTAATGAAAATATTAATGAGCTGAAAGATAATTTTATAAAAACTGTATACGATGGCCATTATCCTAAATAAGTTATAGATATACCACCTTGCTATGAATAATGATAAATTTGCTTTGCTGCTGTTTGTTTTAAACAGGCAATTTTTTAAATAGGTAAAACAGCACCCTGAATTTCAAGTTGGAAGATTTGGGTTCAGGATACGTTTTCGTACTAGATGGGTGAATCTGGTAAAGCTGGTTAGCATCTCTAAAATAAGTTCTTCCCTTGTAAAAGGATATACCTTGGTCACAGGGTTAAGAGGGGAAAAAAAGGATATAATATCAAACTGTCCTATAAATACTGTGGTTGAGCATCAACCCATGCACCAAGAGGTCGTCAGTTCAATTCACCGTCAGGACACATGCCCAGGTTGTGGGCCTGATCCCCAGTGGGAGGCATGTGGGAGCTGACCGACAAATGTTCTCTTCTCATTGCTGTTCCCCCCCCACACACACACACACACACACACCTCTCTTCTCTCTCTAAAATCAATAAAGGGGAAAAAAATTTTTTTTAATACTATACATATGGCATAAGCTACTAATAGTCTTGCACATCGCTTTTCCCCCCCTCTTCCTGGGTACAAGGCTCAAATAGAAATGGCATTTTTTAGTATTTGTAGCACTATGCTCAGTTCAGGTCTACGGAAAAGGAGTAAAAGTGACTTTCCTAGTCACCTTTAACAGAAAATGTTCTGGTTGTCCTGAACTTTGGCTCTTTCCTCTTCCAGCAGGTTAGAAATGGAGATGTAACGGCAAACCAATAGAGACTACTCAAATAAGATAGGAGCCCAGGTAGTGGCTGAACCTGAGACCTGAATGACTCATGGTACACAACGGCATTACCAGCTCAGATGCGCCAGACCATTGAGGAAAAGATAATGATCCAGCTTATCCAGGTCACTGTTTATGAACATCTCCGTGTTACAGCAGCTTAGCCTTCAAGCCAGCTATTACAGTATAAAACAAATGCAAATTATTGATCAAAGGCAACAAAATTAATTTCTTTAGCAAAACTAGTATTATCCTACGTACAAACACAATGTGGAAAACTCCCTATTATAAGTAGCTTTGGGAACAACTTAAAAAGTAAAGTTCCCCCCTCTCCCCCAAAAGTGTTCTGCTTCAAGTAACTCCAGAGAAAAGCATTAAGACTTGAGTTTATCTACATGCAAGTCCCTGTTGACTTGAGAAGAAGGCCGCTAGAGAAGACTGAAAAGCAGGAGACGTTTTAAATTGGAAAGAATAAAGAGCAAAGAAAAACAGTAGCTGTAGTCCAAATATTTCGGGAGTTGGGCTGAAAAGTAAACATAAACGAGAGCCTATAAAAAACATCCAGGAAATCACTCAAAGATTACTGAAAAGTATTTATTTGTATTTGATTTTCATTGGTGAAGATTTTCAACTATTTGAAGACTGAGGGAAGGAAATTAGGAAAGATGGAAACACCAAAACGCCAGAAAAGACACAGATTTGGGAAGACAGAACCCAAAGGCCAAAGAACCCATGCTCAAAGTAATTGGTAATTCTATCCTCAGACTGTTCTTAACTCTAATCATCCAGCACGTCAGGAGTTGTTTTATTGTGAGAGGTCTCAGCAGAGGAATCACAAGTTAACTTTGGCTGGACCTCTCTGTTAACAATAATCAACCTCTGGCCCTGGCCGGTTTGGCTCAGCGGTTAGAGCGTCAGCCTGCGGTCCTGAGAGACCCGGGTTCGGTTCCCGCTAAGGGCACGTACCTCGGTGTTTGTCCCCGGCCCTGATGGGTCGTGCGGGTGGCAGCCACTCAGTGTATTCCTTTCACATCGATGTTTCTCTCTCTCTATCTGTTCCTCTCTCTCCCTCCCACTCTACCTGAACGAAAAATGGAAAAATGTCCTTGGGTGAGGATAAAAATAAATAAATAAATAATCAACCTCTGGAAGCCACTCATAAAGTTAACCCACCTACACAGACGGCTTCAACTACAGCCTTGAGCCACCCCCCTCCCCCCAACATTTACACAGAAGTCAGCTTGGGAAAACCAAAGTATTTTAAAAGCAGAACATCATGGCACAGAGTTCCCATTCAGCTAACACTCACAGGTGGAATCACGCACCCCATTTACATTTCCTAATCACTGCAGACATAGTCTTCAAGTACGCTGCAGCAGTGAGGTGCATTCCCTCTTGCTGTTCCTTTAAGTGGACCCTGAGGGAAAATGGGAAGCAGTGGGGAACAAGACTCTATGGAGCTGGGTATAACTACCACTGCTGTGAAAGGAGAAATAAGGATATTTTTCTCCTCATCTAGGTTGGAAAGTCAGAGGGATGTGTATTGAGAGTGAGTGCTGATCAATATAAACCTTTTTTCCTTCTCTGTAATGTCGTCAGAAAGCATCAGACATTGTATGATAACAGAAAGATGAACAAAGTCTGTGAATGCAAGGAAATAGTCAATGAGGTTAAAAAACACTAGAAAAAGGTAACATTGAAAAATAAATATATGTCAAGCATCCATATTTTTAAAAACCACACACTAAATACAAAGATTGTGCATACATTTAATTTTATTACCTCACAACAAATTTATTACAAAATATAAGTTGTACCCAATTATAGAGAATACATGTTTAAACTAGGCTTTTCTCTTTCTTCTTCTTGAGCTTCCCAGTCTCCCCCTTTTCTTCCCAAACACAGATCTGGCAGTCACCAGGACTGGTT